CCTCTCTCCGCTTCTCTTTCTGTCCTTGTCTCCTCTTACTCTGTCTCTTTTCCTCTCATTCACATTTGGTTGCAGATACTGCACATCTCTGAGCAGGTGGGGTAATATCTAGTAGAGCCGGGCCATGAAAAATGTAATATAATGTTTAAGAAGATCTCATCATGAAGATTACGCTGTAAGAAATGTTTCTTTGAGACCGCTGGCTTCAAAATTTTAGTGTTTAACACCTTAGAGCGCTTGATTTAGGAGTTATTTAACGATATAATTCGTAAATGCTGCTGAGTGTTGCGGGTTGCATTGGCCAATAATATTGTTCTACAGCGCCATGTAGTGGAGTTACAACAAATTGCATCACATAAACCAATAAGAGGCGGTATTAAGCACGTGCATTTGTTTACATCAGGACCACTCTAGGACCGAACAGACCTCACAACTCTCCAGCAGAGTTCGTGACCGCCATCGCGGCACCCCCCCTCCACCCCTGCGGGGACCCAATCAGTTTACCGTCTCCACCGCCCGCGCGTCAAGTGTAGCTGCTGTCGTCGTCGTCCTCATCGTCGTCGTCGGCGGCGGCGTCCGTGGCGGCGGAGACGGCGGCGGAGACGGCGGCGGTGGCGGCGGCGGCGGCCGGGTCGGCGAAGGGCGGCGGCACGTTGTCGCGGTACTGCCCCACGATGTTGCCGCGTGGGTAGTAGTTGGCGACGACGATGACGCGGCCGCCGCGGCCGCGCGCCACCGCCAGCCCCAGCAGGCGCGTGCTGCGCCACATCATCTGCGTGAAGTTCCCTGCGCACGCCGCGCCACGCTCAGGCGTCATTTATGCGTCGTTTATGCGTCGTTTATGCGTCATTTATGGGCATTTATGCGCACTAATGCGTCATTTATGTGCATTTATGCGCACTAATGCGTCATTTATGTGCATTTATGCGCGCTAATGCGTCATTTATGTGCATTTATGCGCATTAATGCGTAATTTATGTGCATTTATGCGCATTAATGCGTACTTTATGCGCATTAATGCGTAATTTATGCGCATTTATGCGCATTAATGCGTAATTTATGTGCATTTATGCGCATTAATGCGTAATTTATGCGCATTTATGCTTCATTTATATGCATTTATGCGTCATTTATATGCATTTATGCGTCATTTATGTGAATTTATGCGTCATTTATGCGTCATATATGCGTAATTTATGCGTAATTTATGCGTCATTTATGCGTCATTTATGCGTCATTTATGCGTCATTTATGCGCATTTATGCGTCATTTATGCGCATTTATGCGTCATTTATGCGCATTTATGCGTCATTTATGCGTCATTTATGCGCATGTATGCGTCATTTATGCGCATTTATGCGCGCGCAGCCATTTATGCGCACCTCTACCCCGCGCACGAATCAGCTGTTTCAGCCAACGGGGAGCTTCAACGTCGCTATGCGGACGATCAAGCTCGCGATTGGATGGAACTGGCAACAGCTGATCCCTGCCAGGTGCAGAGTTGCGAAAATCGCAGTATAAAGCACCACGTGCGTCGGCTCTCGGGCAGCTGAGGCGCTGACATCCCTTGGATCGGGAGCTTGGACGTCACTACAGCAGGGGTGGATCCAGAGACACATTTCGGGAGGGGCAATTCCTAATGTTTTTGTGAAATGTGTCATATTTAAGGCTATGACTTATATGCCATAACAGTGGATTATGCACAGGCTGTCCGGTGAGGAAACGTCGAAACCTCGCAAATAAGCTCTTAAAACAACTTATATATTATTTTGTCTTCAACAGTATATTTTTCAACAGTATATTTTGTCAACAGTATTTTCAACAGTATATTTTGTCTAATGAACTACTGGGATTTTTCGAATGGTTGAGCTGCAATAAGCACTCAACATTTAGTTTGAAATAATGCTTCCTCACCAAAAATTTGCATTGCAGAAGCATAGAATCGCTCCAGAAACATGCAAATTGTTCTTTATTAAATAGATTAATGTATTTATTCAGAAGGAAAAATTAAACAGAAATACAAAAGCATCTAATTTACAAACTCCTTTTTTATTTTGGGTTTATGGTAACGTTGTAGCTCCCGATTG